CACTCCCATCCATCCATCCCTGTACACACCCTTCTATCCATCCATCCTCCATCCACCCCCACCTCTATACATCCCACATCCATCCCCAATTTCCCATCCAACCCTATACACTCCCATCCATCCCTGTACACACCCTTCTATCCATCCATCCATCCCCACCTCTATACACCCAGCATCCATTCCCAATTCCCCATCCATCCCTGTACACACCCTTCTATACATCCATCCATCCCTGTACACACCCTTCTGTCCATCCATCCATCCACCCCCACCTCTATACACCCCACATCCATCCCCAATTTCCCATCCACCCCTATACACTCCCATCCATCCATCCATCCCTGTACACACCCTTCTATCCATCCATCCATCCATCTTCCATTCACCCCCCACCCACCCCACCTCTATACACCCCCCATCCATCCCCCTCCACCCTATCCATTCACCCACTCCCATCCACACCCCACCCCATCCATCCATCCCCATCCACCCCCACCTTCCCTCATCCATCCCTCCACCCCATCCATCCACAGCCCCACTGCTATACAGCCCCATCTACCCACCTCACCCCCCTCCATCCATCACCATCCACCCCCTCCACTCTCCATCCCATCCATGCCCCACCCCAACACACCCCCATCCACCCACCACCCCCATCCACACCCTCATCCCTATACCTCCCATCCATCCACCCCCATCCATCCCTCCACCCCCCTCTCTCTATAGCCACACTATGGACCCACCCCCCCACTCTGCCCCCGTAAGCATCCCAGTGCTTTGTACTGCACCCCACTCCGGGTCCCGCGCTGCCCTACGCCCGGGGATCCAGTGGGACAGGCCGGGGACACGGAGCACCGCGGGCGCAGGGGGAGGAAAACCGGGGGGGGGCTCCAGCCCCCCATCATCCCCGCGGGGCGCGCCGCCTGCGCCTTTAAGAGGCGGGGGGAGGGGTAGCCCCAGCCCAGCCCCGCTCGCTCCCTGACGTCGGTTCCTTCCCTTTCTCTCGCTGTTTTGCAGCCGCCCCGGCCAGGCGGGGACCCCGCTCGCTCGCCCGCCCCGATGGTTCCGCGCTGCCCGGCCAGGGCCGTCCCCGGCAGCCGCAGCCTGGCGTGAGCCCGCGGCTGGTGAGCGCCCGGCGGGCCCGGAGCAGGAGCGGGATGGCCGGAGCCCGCGGCTGGCTCTAGGGGCTCGGGTCCTATTGCACCAGCCGCTCCCTCCCCAGCATCCTCCCAGCGGGCGGCGCCCCGGAGCCGCGGCCGCCCCTGCCCTTTGTGCGCGGGCGAGGGGCGCACGGAGCCGGGCTCCCCGGGGTGGGACCCACCGCCGCAGCCCATCCCCCCTCCTGGGCCATGAGCGCCCCCTTCTAGCCGCGGAGCCGCGCGGGTCCCCCCCGGCCAGCCCCCGCGCCCGGCGCCCGGGGAAGATGTCTTCGCGCACCGCCCTGGCGTCTGGCAACGAGCGGAACTCGGACGCGGTGAGTGAGGGCCGGGCCCTTTGTCCCCCGCGCTGCCCCTTCCCCTGGCCGGAGCCCGGCCCCGCGGGCGGCGCCGGGGATCGATTCGCCTCCCACCCCCTGGCCCGAGCTCGGCTCGCTGGGGAGCCGGGTGGGGCCGGGGCCGCCCCTGCGCTGGGCTGGCCGGGGAGGGGGGCAGATCGGGTGTGCGAGGGAGCGGGGCGGGCTGGGAACGTCTCCCCAGCCCCCGGTGCAGAGAGCCGGGGGGGAGCGGGGCCCAGCCCCCGGTGCAGAGAGCCGGGGGGGGGGGAGCGGGGCCCCAGCTGCGCCCACCTGCAGCATAGTGCTTCTGCAACGGCTCAGCCAGTGGGCCCTTGCAGGCAGGGCGAGCCCAGCACTGGGGCCATTCCCCCAGCCCCGCTGGCTCCCACCCAGCCCACAGCTGGGAGCGAGCAGAGGTGTCGGGTCCCTGAGCCTGCCCCAGCCGAGGGGAGTTATGTTGGGCTGGGGGCGCAGGGGAGCTGGCAGCGTCTGCATCCTGGGTGGGCTGCTAAGGTCAACAATGACATTTGTCTCGGTGAGGGGGCACGTGGTGTCGCTGTGGGAAGGGAGGGGGGCTACCACATGTTGGGGGGGGGCGAGGACTCTGCATTGGCTCGGCCTGGGCCTTAGCCTGCGGCAGCAGGGACACGCCAGGAGGCCTTCGTGGGGTTGCGGGGATGTGGAAGCAGTGAAGGAGGTTGTGGTTTGGGCCTGAACGTCCCCCTGGGGTGTGGAGCTAGAGGAGAAGGGGAATGACCTCCTAGGGCACGGTGAGACCTGCAGACCGTCAACCACACGTGTGCCCACGCGTGCACGCTCACCACCCCTCCCTGACACACACACACATGCCGAGACGCAGACCGGACAGTGGGAGACACAGACCCCCAGCCTCACACCCGCCGACACAACCCCGCACTGGAATCTTCCTAGGAGCCAGGCGGGCCCTGCCCATGGACTCCCATGTCCCCCGCCTTGCACCCTGCCTGGGATGAGGAGAGTCCACGCGTGCCGGTGGTCCTGCTGGCATAGTGACATTGCTTCCGGATCACTTGTGTGTCCTTGCCATGGAATCTCCAGAGCCCTGCCCTGCACTGGATGTACTTTACAGGGAAAAGTAGTTCCTTAGCAACTAAGGTGGCATTTCCTGGTGCCGCAGGGGTGGGGGCCCCCCTCTCTGCCTGGCTCCCTCCGCGGCCTGATATGCCAGTCTCAGACACAGGGTGGCAAATGCGAGGTTTCCCTTGGAATTGCCCGTGTGCTTGGCCTGGGTGGCACCAGGATCTCTGAGCAGGGCTGCTTCGTGGCATGGGAGCCCCAGCGGAAGGCGCCTGGGGTGGCCTCCTCCCGGCTGAGATGAGCCATGTCCCTCCCCCTGCCAGCCTGGGCCAAGCCATCTGCCTGTGGAGGCTGGGGCTCTGCTCCCACCATGGCCTCTGCTGGATGCTCCCATCATGCACTTGGCCTGATGTGGGATGCAGATACCCTGGAGCGCGAGTCAATGAGCCTCTCTCCTCTCCTCGCCTGCGTGGCTCCAATGCTCCTGCTGCTGCGTGTGACATTGGGCAGCCCTCTCCGAGCCCGGCCTGGCCTCCTGGGAGCCCAATCTCCTGCCGGCCCCTTCTCCTGGCCCTTGTGCGGTGGGACAGTTCAGTCCTGGCAACAGCCCAGCGGGCATTGAGACCCAGACATGCCGGGGCACCCGCTCCCTCCCCCTGTGGCCGCCGGAGATGGGGGTGGACAGCAAAGCCAGCGTGGGCCCCATGCTGCTGTCAGCCCTCAGGAGGGAACCTTCTCTGGGGAGATGGCCCTGCTAGTCAAAGAGCTGGGTAACTAGCTTGGTCCCATTGCACCCAGCAAACGGCAGTGAAGTGGCTCTCTTGCATGGGGGGAACGGAGGCACAGAGGGGCAGTGACTCAGGGTCACCCAGTGAGTCAGACAGAGCTGGGGATAGGAGTCCTGATACTCTGTCTCCCCCCGCTGTACCCCACTAGCCCCCACTCCCCTCCTAGAGCCAGGGATCGAACCCAGGAGTCTTGACTCCTCCGAGTCCCAGCCACCAGACTCCACTCCCTTCAGGACTCCTGGGTTCTGTTCCCAGCTCTGTGACCCCCCCCAGCTCCACCCCACTAGACCCCACTCCCCTCGAAGAACTGGGGCTAAACCCAGGAGTCCTGGCTCCCTCCCCCCCCCCCAAAAAGAAGCTT